TCTGGCATGTATCTCCGTTTAAGGAAAAGTGTTCGTGGTTTTAATGGGTGAAAGTCCTACATTCTTCATGAGTGTTGTTTTCCCTAAATGTTTATTCAAGAAAACAGATTTTGTTAGCCGGGGGATTGGCGATACCATGTTCTCAGCCAGGCGCGGATCAACGGAGGGGGGGAGAGGACCCCCCTCACACAATTTTTTTCCCCAGTAACTATTAATTTTAACTTTTCACGAAACTTTCAAGTAACTAGTGGTGCTTGCCCGTCCTTTTTCGCCATATTTCCTCGCAAAAAGTACTAAACTTTTCGGAAAATTGTTCATTACCTTATTTTAAAATCTATCTTTAAAGAACAGATTTCATTAAAGGAAAAATGTCTATCTTTAATACTTAATTTGTAGGAAGACTCCTAAAAAAATTGAACTTTTTAAAACAATTGAACTTTTGAACAATTTTAAAAAAATCAGGATTTTCAACGAACATTAGACCTGGTCTATTCTCTTAAACGTTCTTCACAGTACATAACAAAAAAATATGGAGCTTTTTTTAATATAATTTTTGAAAAAGAAACAATTAAATTATTTGAAAAACCTCGCAGGTCCTTCAAATAAAGTACCCCCAAACATTAAAATATCACTTTCAAATTTTAGGGGCCGCGGCATCAGCCAGAGCAATTGGAGAATATCGATTTTGGAAAATATCGGCTCAACAGTTTAGCCGCTAGCGTTGTTCACAGATGGACAGATGCTTGGGCGTCAATCGATTTTTCGGTACCCTTTCTCTCTAGCTACATCACATGTTAGAAGATTTTTTTCTAAATTTTGCAACTGCATTTATCCACTTTTTCGTTGCCAGAGCCCTGTAATAAGTTTTTCTGCTGAAAATTCGCTGTTTTTTCGCGCAGCATTATATAACCTCTCCACTCCGTAAAAATATTTTCGGATAATAGTTTAAACGAATAAATCGTATCGCAGCATGAACTGAGTTAAGCCTGCGTCATTCCACATAATCTGTAATATGACACATTCCACCAAAACATTTTTGAATTAAAAAAGAACTATCTTAATTTACCAATCACACTCGACTCAATATCGGGCATTTGTATAGTATGAGTGAGTATCCCTAGAATGAGGAAATATAACGAAGGGGCGAATTTTGATGACCTAAAACGTTACCAAAAATCATCAATAAAATGCTCTTAAAATGTTTTTAAAATGCCCTAAAAACAAAGACAAGTGACGTAGAATATTTTATTCAGATGCGTAAACTCAAGCTGTTGGATATGTTACTGATGTAATCAGAGGCAGATCGAGGGGGGTGGGGCGTGCCCCACCCAAAAGGCCTTGAGAAAAAAATTAAAATGGTAAAAGTGTAGGAAAAATAAAAACGAGAAACGCAAGAAAATAGTAGAATCATCTAAAATATATCGAAAACATAACGATGCCTTGGCATTTTAGATAAGAATGGGTATCCTGATTCTCGCTGTATTTTAGCCCAGTGGTGCGAATGGAAAATGTCTTCGACTGCTCTTCAGAGATTTCTTTCTTACTCCGCTTGACAAGCGGTGCTACAGCGACTTCCACGTATTGGAGTGTCGCCGACGCAACCGGAAACAATCTTGACGGAGTAGGTCTATCTCTCGGTGCCAAGCGAGTGATCGTGGGCCGCTGTGATATTTCGCGCAATTAGTGATCCGGAAACAAAAAAATAGGACATGGATCGCTTACATGCGCCTGGAGACGGCGCGGTTAAGTACAGAAGACTATACTAACCGTACGCGGTTTAGAACAGAAAGAAAATATCTAAACAGAATAAGAAAGAGAAAAAATCTAATAAAAGGAAAACGTAGAAGGGGGCTTAAAACATTTTCTTACATCCTGACGGCTTTCTCAGTCCTGAACAGAAAAGTGTGTATGTAAGCGAATGTTTAATTTGTTAATCGATATCATGCTTTTTTTATTTAAATTATATTGGTTGACATCTGCATCATAGAATGAAAAATATGATACCCTAATCCTTTGTCATTTTGCAGCTCTGAATTCAATTTTAAAAACAAATTATTACTCTGTTTAATTTAAAACTATTAAGTATTCATTAAATATTTAACTTAATATTTTAATGTTTTTAAACGCATTTTATAATAAATAATTTACTTTGTTTTTAATTTAATTAATTTATATATAATTTATATTATCTTTATACAAACACACACATACACACACTAAACAAAGCCATACAAATCTGTCTCAGCGTTTCTTTTGATGTCAGCAGGAAACATTCAATGCACACGCTTCTGGGTCCATTCACTCAGCCTATCTTCTTAGGTGGTAGCTAGTCTCTCTAAGTCCCCTTGATTCAGGTTTAACGGGGTAAAGTTTATATCCATGAAACAAATTGCTTTGTGCACAACCTGGAGTAAGTCGTTTTTTGGGGAGGACGGGGAAATATTTGCGAAGAAAATAATTTTGGTTTCACTATGCTACATCTCTCAACTAGAGGAACTACAACAGCACATACTTTCTAGCATTATGTGTATCATCTAAGCATAATTATAATATGACATAAGCCCACAAAAAATGTTTCCAATCAGCAACGTTTTTCTCTCCACTAGGATTTGAACTCAGGTTCTTAGAGTTAGACATACTTCATATTACCCCTAAACAAGACCCAGCTAATCTCAACTTTCCCAACACTATTATTGTTTACGTTATTTCAAGATCTAGTTTTGAAGAATAGATTTCATTAAGGAAAACATTTCAATAATCAATATTGTAGTTTTGCTATGTTAATTTTTTGTTTGCAATGTTTAAAAACACTGAGTTCAACAAAAATAGGACCTGCAACATTTTTTTAAGCATCTTTTGCTCATATAATGATGCATGTTTAGGATCATAATCACATAAATCAAACCATCAAATAAATAGAATTCGGAAAGAACAGAATAGCCTCATTTACACTTAAAAAAACAAAGTAAATGATAAATATCAAAACAGTTCCCGAAAATAATTTAAAGTTAAATGTACTCAAATTTACAGAACTGAAAAGTCCATATTTCTGACAAGAAATGCTGCTGAGCTTGCACATTTTTATACAGACTTACAGTAAACATTATTGTTAGAATAATAACAATCAAAAAGTTAAGAATTATATACATTTATGGTTATTAGGTAATCAATATCATGTAGTTTATAATTATTTTGAACTGAAAAATGGCAATAATTTCAAATTTGTACATGGACATATTTATTTTTAGTAAATTTTAATCACATTTTACAAGATTATAATTTCTCTTAATTTCAGAACAGAAATTAATTTTTTTAGAATGTGTACGACTTAAAAATTGAAAAATTCAAATATTTGCATAAAAGTACAAGATTTTAAGGTAAACAAAATGTCTAAGATAACACAGAAACATCTTTAAAATACTTGGGTACATTTTGTAGGTGTTAAATAGTTAATTATGAAAAAAAAAAATTTAAGTTTAGGGCACATCCAATTTGTACCTCCACATATTTTGTGAATATTAAGGGGTGGAGTATTGAAAAATTGAAAACTGATTTTTCTTTCTTTCTTTTTTTTTTTTTTTTTTTTTTTTTTTTTTTTTTTTTTTTTTTTTTTTTTTTTTTTTTTTTTTGCTTCATGCAGAAAATTAAAAAGCAATCATTTTGGAATCATATTATATCAATTTCTTCATTGGAGATCAACAACCGAGAGACATCCAATAAAACAGAAATAAATAAAGCAGAATGAAATTAGTTCCCATTAACTACAACACAAACAATTGATATATTGACTGACTTTCATTAGTTTAGAAAATTACTAAACGCTCTAATTTTAATATGTACCATTAGCTCTGAGAGAGAGGGTGAGAGGGCTGAAGCCCCCATGTGCTCCAACCTGCTCTTTTAGGTGCATCATAGTTCCTAACTAATTTTATCTTATTATATATGAGACAAATACATTATGAAACAGTTAAAATAAATCAAATTGTTAAAAAAATTCAGAGAAAAATGGGGTAAATAAGGAAACAACTTCGGTTGTGGCTATAAATTGACATAATGAAATTTTTATGATCTGTTTTGGCTTAATAAAAGTTAACGACCACTTCTTGATAACAGAACTTTGGAATATAGTAATACACAATTTTTCTCTAGGGTTTAATACGTTCAACAAAGAGGCTTCCCAACTTACCTGATTTTCCATTAATATAATTTCTTTAAAAAATTTGTTTAATATGCAGGAACCAACAAAATGAAAAAAACAATACATGCATACAAATTTGGGCTTTAATCATCGAACATTTTAAAAGATTGCCTTACTTACTATCCAAAAACAGAAGCGATTCAAAAGAATGCTTTCTGCATGCCTCCAATACTGAAAGGAAATATATGTATATGAACCTCCAAAATCAGTAAGATGAGATCAGGATGAGCAAATGAGACTAAATGAGGAAAGTTTCTGTTTGATTCCGTTAGTGAATGCAACTCACTGGAACAAAATTAAAGCTACTGTCATCTGTTGAATTTGCTTTCTCTCTTTAATATTAAATGATAAATCTAATTCATTAAAAACGCAGGACAATTACCTGACAATAAAAACAAAGTATTTGTTGTAACACTAGTTTATGTTCATCCATGGCAGTTGAATGACATTTTTCCTTTGAAGGTTTTATAGATTTGCCAACTAGGGATTTATTGTCTGATGATTTGTTCGAAAAATTAGTAGTTTTAAAAGGACATTCCATTTCTTTGTGTTAGACATATTTTTTACATAATTTTATAATTGAAAATGTTTATACATATTGATAAATACATTACAATAGTTATTGTTCAGAAATTTATATGACTGACAATTACTAATTTATTGTAATTGACAATTAGAATATATTATTGCAAATAAAAAATATACCATACAAAATTATAATATATTTATTTTGAGGATTTGAAATATTTTAAATACATATGTATTTAGCACATTGAGTCCTAATGCATTTTGTGTATGGATTCAAATATGTATTTAGAAAGTATTTTGGGTAAGTATTTAAATACTAAATTTAAAGTATTTTGCCCAACCCTGTAACCAAGTAAATTGGAAGACAACAATCTTACATGGAGATGATTCATATCTTCTAATTGAAGTATGAAAAATTATAAAATTAATTGTTTTGAAAATTATAAGCTGATCTATGTAGCACACTGCTGTGGCAGCAACCATTCTGCACAGGTCTTAACATTGAATTCAAAACTCACATAAGGTAGAAATGTTATCAAATTGAGATAATATAATGGAAGGTATTGATAAACCACCACATCTCACAATAACATGTTTCATTATTCATTAATTTGCTCCATTGCTCCATATAGACGCTAAAGCCCGCTTGACATACTATATCATTCAATCACTCGTTCCATTATTGATAAAACATTACCAAAAATAAATGATAGGAAACATTTACCAAATTTCAAAAGTTTGTCTTTAATTTCAAAAGAATGTACAAAAGTTTGCTTCTACCAAGAAGAAAAACACAAGAGCAATATTACACTATTTTCCATTTTCTAGAACCGAGCCTGGAGTCAAGATTACTGAATTAATTAATTCAATCTGTACTCCACAAATTGCACTCTTGCATTATATCACTGGCAATTAAAAAAAAGTTGTGGTAAATAGTAATAAATGTACATTACTAAACACGTGTAAATTACTAAATTCCTTCTAAAATAATGAGTAGGCAAACACTCATATTAATATATTCTTGATATATTTGATAATAATTGATATATTTCACCTTTCTTACATTATAATTTCATTTCAAATAACAAGTATATTTTAACCTAAAATAAATGCACATAAAACGCACAAAAGATTTCATTTTTGATTGTTTTCATTACACATCTCTAGATAGCATTTTAAGACATTCAGAACATCTGTAACTATTCCTTAGTTGAAAACAGAACATGAACGTTCAGGTAAAAATGATAATAGCCTCACAATGTTTTTTCAAAAAATTCAGTTTCTTAGTACAGTAAGAGTTATAACAGAAACAAAAATATTTTTTTAAAAATATTTTCAGATTTAACAAATAATTGATAATTTCTGCAATTAAATTTCTTTTTGCAAAGTTTCTTTGCCAGCTATTTACAACAAAAACTATTTTTTGAATGTCTACATCCACATAAAGCCAAATACATTTTTAATAATATTTTACCCTTGTTCCCAAATAACAATGCTAATAGTATATACACACACAAACTCTTTACTTGACAGGCCAAGATATAGGAAATCCCAGTAAAAGAGTATATAATGTTTCTACAAAATGCAATCGAAAATAATGCTTTTATAACATGTACTCACATTAAGGACAAACACAAAATCAGTTTGATAATAATACATCATTCGATCTGGAGGTAGTGCATTATAAAAGGTAACAAAATTAACTCTATGTTATAGATAAATGGAACCCATATGCAATTTGTCTGTAATATATCTTGCCTTTGATAAAGATAAATTTGTTGTAATAAATATTACTGTAAACTGAACCAAACTGGTCATAAATGACAAGATTTCACAAATGAGCAAATGTTTTGAGGTCAAAAGAGACCAATATCGACTAGTCTTGCACATATACATTATGTGCTGATAAAATTTACTGATCTGATTTTCACACAACAGCTAATCGTTCAACATGTTTAACAGCATCTTTCAACTTAGACACAAAATCTTGAAGTTCTTCAACAGTACACACAAATTTTATTTTCTTTGTTATCTTTTTAAAATCCATTGATTCATCACATGTTTCAGCTTGAATTTGAATTAAATATTGTAATTTGCCAACATGATCCAAACTACTGTCCTGTAAATACATTAAAGATAATTGAGATATCAAAAATATGTTTGGAAGACATTATCAATCACTGTGGGACATCTGCATTACTATAATAAAAACAATACACAGAATAGGAAGCTCAATGAATATAGTGAAAGACAAAAGAATATTAATTATCTGTGTCAATATTGTCTTAGGAGCATTAGTGGCCTAATGCTCTTAAGACAAACTGTTGCTGAATATTTAGAAGATTGATAATACTATCCTACTTATTCAGAAAGGATAGTACTAGCAAGAAAAACTTATAAACATCTGTTCTGATCTGCAAAACTAACACTTCCAAAGAATGTTTCTTACACACTAGCTTTAGTAAATAATTTTGTAAGCTTCAGTAAATACTCTACACATGTGTGTATTATTAATTGTGTATATATTACTGTTCATGTTATTAGAAACTAAGAATTTGTGCATCATGGTTAATGTAACGAAAACTATTCATTATTATTTCATATCTAGCTGTGATTTTATTAATTATGATTTGATTCTGTACTTTTTTTATTTAAATGTATTCCATGTAGGTACATTCACTGTAATATCCAAAATAAAAAAATGAAGTACACTAAGAAACTGCTCTTCTTTGTGAGATTCACCCAGAAAATCTATATTGAAATCTCCACATACAACAATGGTTTCAAAAGAGTGATTACTAATTCTGTTCTGAGTTATCTTAAGATTTTCCAAGAAACTGAAATACTCTGAAGCTCGCTTTGTTGCAAGGCCTATAGATGCAAAATAAGGTATTTTGAGTGTAGTAAGATGTACAACTGTTATTTTGAAAACATGTTCAACTGCATATAAATTGAATTCTGACAAGAAAGTAGAATCAATATAATTTCTTGTGTAAATACATGAACCTCCATAAGCAACACCCTTATTTGATTCCCTCGCTCTACAATATGATCCTGCAAGGTAAAATCTAGGAAATTAAGCTAAGTTCATTATGTGACAACCAATGTTCTGTAAAGCACAAACTCATCTATTTGACCTAGATCACACTGTAATGCAGCCTCAATAAAGACAAGTATATTTGAAAGATACTGAACATTACGATATAGTCTTCAAAGCTTTTGTATGTACCTACAGAGATATTTTTCTGCTGCATCTGACTGTACTTGTTATATATTTATCTCATTTCTCCCTCAAATGAAAGATAAATGCAAATATCATGACATGAAAGGGAGTACGGCTGGTGGCAACAGATGTAGAGGAATTAATAATGGGAGAGGTAGTTCAAGGATTAGGTTCAGAGGATCAGGTAATGGGACTCAAAGAGGTCCCGAAGAATGGAAGAGAACTAGGAGATGTGGGTGGGGAAGGGTCTTCGGCGGGACACATTGTGTCCATATACACATTTTCGAATTATTTAATTTGCCAGAGTAGCAAAGAAACAAAGCTAGTATCTAAAAATAGCTATTTTTCAAAGTATATACACATTTAGTTTTAATAAATCGATATAATACTACCTAAGAGAAAGATGTCACACAAAATTGGTTGATTGGGAGAATGGCTACCCCGTGTGTCCATAAAACACAGCCAAGGCCATATTAATAGTTATATAAGTTTCTAAGCAGTTGTTTCTTTTTCATTCAATAGTCTAATACATATACTACATACATTATACACATATATATATGCAATTATATAAATGGTAATTTTTTTGGCAGTTGCATATGGAAGTAAAATTACACATTATTAAACAGTGTATGAATGTTGGAATAATAGCAACTTGACGTGAATGTATGACGTGCGGAAAAGAAATGAAATTGATTCGTGGTTCAGTGTGAGTACATCAATAATTATTCAGGTTCTCAATATGGGTTGTGCAAACAAATGTTTAAACACGTTATAAATTATGTAAATGTTGATGAAAAAATGTGACAGACTGGAGGAGTTTTTGTAGAAAAGAATGTTTTAAGATTCTGGAAAGAGAAAGTGTACCTGGAAGGGGGGTGGGGGAGAAGGACTAAGTGTTGAAATTGATGGAAGAAAGTTGGTTAAAGATGTTTTGAAATTTAATATAAGATAAAAGAATGAATGGAAAATGGGTGTTTGAGGAATTGAAAGAGTGGCAAAACACTGTTTTTTTAAGGTTGTTGAAAATAATGACAAAGAGTTTCTTATAGACATTATAAAAATTAAAAAACAGTATCCACTGTGATTTCAGATTGGTGGAGTTTTTAAAAATGTCTAAAAACCAAAGGTTAACAGCACTTTGCTGTCAATTACTCTTTGCTTTTCAAGGACCCTGAAAATAATGCCCATACCAATACAATTGAAAATACTTTAAGTGAAATTAAGCACCAACTACTTTGGCGTTGCATTGAAAAATGATTTCCAATTTATCTTTTTGATATCTAAGGAGAAAAAAATAAGCCAAGAAAAGTAAGTTTCAATTTATAACAGCAATAACAAAAATGTATATAACTCTATAGAAAATATAGTCATGAGTAGAATATAATTATTTTGTTTATATTTTTTAATTTTCTAAGTAGGAAAGTTAGTGAAGTAAACTAGGAGGTAATAATTGGAAATATAAAAATTTGGTAAAATGCTTTTGAAAATCGGAGAACAGATGATTGTTATGAGTTTGTTCTCTTAATGATTAAGAGTGTGTGCTCGCAGAAGCTACGATTATCTGTATTGACATATAGTAGCCAACATTGCTATAAAAATGTATAAGTACTTCGTAGAAGCGTTATTCACCCAATCTACCCAAAATTTTTATTGTATTTTCTTAGACGTTTACATTGGAAGAACTTGATATAAAAATACCTCCACAAGTGAAATGTATGCTTTAATATAATACAAGCTACCTCTCAATATCTAATCATTATATTTTAAATTTGGTAGTAACACAAAATTTACAGACAAAATGTTAAAGAACACTTACGATCCAGTTTAATACCAACCTTTATGCAATAATCCAATGTCCAATTAGCATCAACTATATGTGGAGGGTGTTTCCCAATATGACTCAAAGAAGCTTGTAATTTAGTTCTATTTTCTACATAACACTTCACCAGCTTTTCTGCACGTGACGAAGAAAAATTGTGGTCTTGTGCTAACATAGAGGAAAGTACTTCACTGTCCACATTGTGCCGTGCAGCTTCAATTAAAACAGATAATAAAGAAGCATAAGCGGCTTTCAGCACATCCAATTTCACGTTACCTAACTGTGACAAGCCTGAAACAAAAGCACCATTTTAATAATAAAGTAAACATACTTGACTACTCTTGATTTTACAAACTGAATAGTAAGGAATCAACTTACGTCGAGTCTCTTCACTTTCAAGAATAACACTTACACACATATCTAAAAGCTTCATAAAACATTCATCATTTATTGCACTAGAATTTCCTAAAGGTTTCAAACCTTGAGAAATGTCATCTGATAAATTCATTTCCAAATTGCTGTACAATTTCTTGTATATAAATGACAAGAATTAGCCTATTTTGAAAGCAATGAAGGAATATATAAGGTTGAACATTCAATATGACCTGAAAAGCAACATCAATGACACCTGTTGACAAGTTAACCTCAGATATTTCTCTTACAGCGAGTATTTTTCACACATTACGGTTACAAGCAAGCCATACGTCGTGCCAACTCGTTTCCCAGATAATTTCAAAAATGTAATTCTATGTGTGATGAAAATTAATATCACACATTTCCAAACTATGCGTTTTACACCAAAACAAACATAACACAGCTGAGTCTAGAACTGAAATCCAAAAGCGAGATCGAGCGGCGAGTGAAATCTGACCAACTGGTAGCATGCGAGGGCAATCGTCTGGTCGCGCGCATCTTTTGATTCGTGGATTCCTATTTCGCAATTCAGTCATTTTTACAATTGTGTTACAAAATTTGATAATTTTTCCTTTATTTCCGATCACATTCAATATTTTTTCTTTCTCTTTCTTGTCAGGTGAGTTTTGTTTAGAGGTGGGAGCGCCAAATTCCAGTTTGAATATAGGTGCAACATTTTTTGTGGATTATACTCATAAAATACGTTTGTAATAATTACGATTTTTATACTTTCACGATTGATTTCCGTATGGAATTAAAGACAATCGATAACTAACTATTGAATTTCTTTTAATTTTTAAAGATTACCACTTCATCAGGAAACAACCTAAAAATAACGAGATTAAAATCAGTTAAATATGTAATATATATTTGACAGTTTTTAATCTTGTTATAGGAATATTTGATTGTCACATTAATGTTGACAATTTAACATAAGTATTCATTTTCATTTCTGACAATCAATTAATATTTTTTCAAACAAGTTTTTATTGGAATGTTGACGCAACGTTTCGCGTGATATTTACACGCATCATCAGGTGTAAAACAAATCAAAATTAATATCTTTATGCCGAAACACGTAAAATGAAGCAACGTTTCTGATAAAAAATAGAACATTATAAAAATGTTATAGACAGGTAAATCCAAAAAGAAATAAGGGGATAAATTCCATTGTAAAACCATACATCTTCAAGTAGGCAAGTATTTTTGATACTCATTTTTATATTTTTAAAACATTTTTATAATGTTCTATGATTATTTATAAAAAATACTTAATTTGACATAACAAACCAATTTTATTTGTTTTACACTCGATAATGCGAGTAAATATCACGCGAAAGGTTGTGTCAACATTACATGAAAAATAATTTTAACAAAAATTGATTGTTAGAAATGAAAATGGATACCTGTGTTAAAATATTAAGATTAAAAACAGTTCAATTAATTCAAAAAAGTAAAAGACGACAACAGTAAATAATTTAATAACGTTTTGTTTCTATGTAGTAAGTAATAACAAATATAATAAAGGTATGAAATTTAATTAACACAAATCCGAAACAAGACTCAGCAATCGTTCCACTGAAGGTAGTTGGGCAAGAAGCATGCCAACAAATGAAGGTTTTTAAAAAAACAACAAAAAAAAACCACAACCACAGTCCAAAGAGAGAGGTTTTGAGATACTAGAACTGTTGCTAGAGCTTCATAGCCGCCATTTGCTGACTGTGTTGTTGTGAACAAAATCAGCTCCTGTCCGTAATTATTAACTCCGAATGTTTGAGTGATTCTGATAAAAGAACCATAGTCCAAAGTATTTCTTTTGGTGGGGGAGTAAAAGAACCTTAGAAAGTACCTTAAATGTAAGTTTTCTCCGTGATTATTTATCAAGCACAGCTTATCCTATGATTTATGTCAATTAGCAACAGCTGATGTTTGCTTTGTGAATGTAGTTATTCTGCATAACCAGTATTTCTTCCCTGAAAGTTTGGTGATAGTGTATAACCTGTTCTTGTGGTATATACGTCCTTCGCGTTGTGAATCTGAGCAAGCAATGAAGAAAGAAACAGCTAAGAAATGGATTATGCGTCAGATGTATGAAGAAGAGAGTGCAAGAGACGTAAACCAAAGATAGATAGGAAAGATGATGTAGTAAGAGTAAAGAAGGTTAAAGGAGAAGCACATTTTAATCACAATGGAATCTTCAGAAGTTGTCAAAATATTTACAGTCACCTGCTAGCAGAGATTTGTATTTAAATTCGTCATCAATGGCAGATGCTAATGTAGAAAAGGAAAACACTGATAATAATGATAACTGCTGTGGCGAAGAACAATAATATTCCAAATTGATTACGCACATTAATTTCTTACATTATTCCTTAAAATATTGTAATATTACTGCCCCCAATAATAAATTTTTATCTCAATTTTTTTTAAACAAACACCATAGTCCACATCATAGTGGTTGTTTCTAAAAAAACTTCAATTGTTAAAAATCGCATTCGATATCCGTGGATCCGACATTACATACGAGCGTCGGCTAAAAACAAGGGGCAAGATACGCAAAAAGTACAAGACGAATTGGATCAACGACACTAAAGAATAATAGTTTGGAAATCTAAATATCAGAAGATTGATTTTGTTGGGTTAATGTTTTTCAACTTTTAATAAAGTATTGTCATAAATATTGGTAAATTAGTTAGATTCTAAATTGGTATTGATAGTTTTATGTATTTTGATGAGTAGAGGTTAAGAAATAATTATGGGGAAATATCTAGGCTTTCTTTCTAAATTAATTTAAATCAATGACCCAACACTATGTTGAGTCTGATCCAAATGTTGTGATATATAATTTAGACGTCCACTTATGTAATGCTTTAGTTTTGTTCTTATGTAATACTGATGTCCAGGTGTGCGTTGTTTTGCGGTTTGCGGTTACGCTTTTGTTTGGTCAATGTACGGAATCGAACAATCAAGGGAAGGCAAACTAGATGTGCTAAAAGAGCACATACTTTCTCGTGTTATCAGAATTAGTTACGTAATATTGAAATATATAATTGGTTTAGTATGAGTTCAACCACTTTGCTACGAATGCACCGTGTTAACTCTGACGGCGAGTTAACTCTGAGGATCTGATCCAGCCTCGTCACGTAAAAAAAGTTTTTTGCTAAGTTTTTTAAAACAGTTTTACAGGTGTATGTGGTAGTATAATATAGCGGAGCAGTTAGAAATAATGCTAGAAATTGTGTGCTGTTGTAGCACCACAATTTTTACTGTCCTTTGATATATACGAGAATATATACAAGTGGGGGCAGAATGCGACAGGTGGACCCTGAATTGTTTATTGAGCAGAATCTTACAAAATGGGTTTTTTGAACTTCCTACTCCATTTTTGCAGATACTTTGGAGATATTTTGGAGAACTTCCCGTTACGTTTTCTTTTGGATGTCCCTACTCCATAAAATGGTGGTCAGAAAGGTCTGTCCTGTTCTTGGCCCGACAGCCCGCTACGGGCCTTGGCAGACTAGCGGTGACCCGGCCTCTCGGCTTTGGGATCGGTTCGGGTGGTTAGCACAAAGACATCCCTTCACCGTGTATACTGGTGTTCTTAACTTTAGGGTGGGCTTTTTCATCGTCGTACAGCAGGAGATACTGGGACATTTGTAAGGAACGCGCACAGTTATAATTTGTCTCGACCGGGAATCGAATCCGGGGTTGCGTCGTGGAAAGCGAGCATGCTCACCAACGAGCCACCCGAGAGGGAGGCCAGAAACGGGCGGAGACCCAAAATTTACCTAATGGTTGAATCTGGAAGTAGGGAGGCTTGCAGGAATTATGTGAATGGCATTTGCTTATTAATCGTACAATTTTTCTAATATCTAACAGTCTGGGTACTATAGGATGTGTTTTCTCAGACAATATGCTATGTCTCAGGCAGGAATAAAGTATATGCAGTCATTGATCGTTTCAAATTTGCGATGAAAATGTTTTTGAGCATATACTGTGGTACTCACTATGTGCTCAGACTAAAATTCAGTATTCTGGTTTGGAAAGTATTGATTGCGTGGTATTCTACGTGTGCTCTGATAGGGTATAAACCTACTTAACTCATACTCATACAATTTATTATCTTATTTCAGGATATACTTTTGTTTTTACTACCAAGGACTAGCTAAGTCTCAAGAAATGTTGCCGTCTGAAGTTTTTCCCAGAAACTTTTTATATGAACAATTAGTGGTTTTTAGAAGTTTGAAGAAGTTTTTAGACCTTCACTCATTTAGAGCCGCGTTTTGGTTATTTTTTCCAGTAATCTTCTTCTTCTTCTTCTTCTTCTTCTTCTTCTTCTTCTTATTATTATTATTATTATTATTATTATTATTATTATTATTATTATTATTATTATTATTATTATTATTATTATAATAGGCTGTCAGATCAACTAGTTATTTTTCATTTAACCAGAGAATTAGACATATTGATTTCTTTATAATTACATTCCTGAAGATCAATTGAGACGGCTGTTTAAAGGACAGTACCTGTGCAGTAGTGTATAAATGTAGAAAATTGGCTAATCGGTGTAGGGTTTGATGAGCCGTACACAACATGACAAGGACTCTTGAATATATATTTCTTAATTTATATGCAAAGAGTGCACAACGAGAAAAGAAATAACTTTATCCTTGAAAATCATTCAAAATGACATTCCGTGTGAATGACGTTAAGTGTCTATTGTCACAGAGTCATACTCCTTGCTCAGTCATTCCCTTGGGTGCAGAACCCGGGTACTCGGAAGCCCGCCGTCACTCCGACCTTGAGAAGTACGAAGCGGGCCGCACGACACCGGTTAACGAGGGAGCGCTTGGTGTGAAATTGGATGTAGTCATTACGAAAATATTTACGTAATGTTAAGTAGAACACAGGAGGTCTTTCTGTGTCGGTTTCACTCTGTCCAAATTATCGTCTTCTTGGAAGGTTAAAGGAAAAAGTAGTAAGATGTGAATTAGTACATTGTTTTTCGCCTGCTCGCCGGCAGATTAATCGTGCATTTGCATAACGACACGTTTTTGGTAGCCCCTGAGCCAATGTTCACACAATGAGATCTATTCCTAGTACAACCGAAGATTCAAAGTCATGCAGTTAATATTTAATTGTAAATAATGTTTCTTGTTCGATCATTTCGTATTTCACTGTACAGAGAGCACAAGTCCGACAAAATTAGCATGATGAGAAAGTGCATTCTTATATCTATAAAGCATACGATTTGTCTGGATTCAACTCCACCGATCCTAATATATTTTAATTTTCTGATATCATTACGAAAAAATAAGGTGCTCCTATTTAAGGACCCAAAATAAGTAATGTCCTCAAAATAGGGGTCCCCAAACCCTAAAATAGGGTTCCCGAATAAAATGTGAACATCTTTGGCTGAGGAACAGGGAGACTGGAAATCTATAAGCGTATTTTAATCAAAAATCTCACATGGAGAATTTGCGAAACCAGACACAAGCGCTATGAAGCACCCTACTAATCACTTACTACATTTTTCAAATGTACGATACCCTATCCTGATCCCTACCCTATCCGGCTACTTACAGCAGAATGGGTCTACGCGCTACATCCT